TGATCGTAACCACCATATGATGTGCTATAAGCCTCTTATCAAAGTTATGTAGATATTTCAACATTACTATGTCACATATACTAGGTTCTTGCATCGTAGTTGCAAATGGATTTTCACTTACCTTTCGCCTTTATGTGTGTAAGCTCCTATGGAGTGTGTATCAATTCCCTTTTTCGCTCAATGTCGAAAAGTCGCCTGTATTATCATCTAATATTAAATACAATCCTCCATTTAATAATCTTAAGACACACAATCCCAAAATACGTCCATTCACGCCAAAACAATTTAGACAAAATCGTTATTTCAAGTTACCGATGGCATTACAAACTAATCCCATAAGTCTCGCTATCTCTCGAGTCCAATTATGAACGTCAACGTCGTCCAATTGTTTTTGGCAACCTAGTATTCCTTAGGATATATTTTCTAGGCCCAAGAGATCATTAGGGGACATCTAAATGTTGAAATCACATTAAATACCCAAATGGACAGAATCTGTTTTCTAGGTTTCCATCACCGTCCACTCATTTTTCAAATTCTTTTTCATGTCCTTACCTACATTTAACGGCTCCCAAAATTTTACCACACACCTATAACATATATGTGAAGATAATCAGATCATAAAGTCGTGACAAATGAAGTGTTTGGAGCTTCAAAAACAGTCCATTTTCCACTACACAAAATCAGGCAGTTTTTCCCTTTGACTGTTTTCGGTTTCCATTTTATTATTATGATACCAACAGAATTCTAGGTCATTAAAATCATTTCTACACTCCCTACTTACATATAAAAACGTTCATATTGATATATATAAGTTAAACACTAAGTATCATCCCAAAATCAAGGTATAAATCACTTAATCCAGCAATTCCTCATCTCTGTCCAGATTACTTTCTTTCAAATTCTTGCAATTAATTACCCCTATTTAGGCATCATAACATCATTAGAAACACTCCAACTTAATCACAAACAAGGTCAGATGTTCAAGAAATCATAAACCCATTAAGAAATAATAGAAACAAACCTCAAAACTGTGGAGTAACAAAGCTGTTCAGAAATTCCAGCTTCTTGTTTCTATTTCTCTTTGACTGTTTCACCCTCTTTTCAATTGGAATCACTTAGGGACGAGTTAAGGGAGTTAATATATTATCTAGGAGGTAAATGAGTGGTCATTAAATGGTTGAAATCGTGCATATTACTTAAGGATTAAGAATATCATGGGCTGCAGCCACCTCAAGCAATCAAGGTGAGTCACAAAGCAGGAGCTGTCATCTTGGCTGCAATACTTGACTTTTCTACCATTATTTTTGTGTCCATTTATGATATTTAAGATATATATTCCTCCTACATTAAGTCCTTGGGGATTAGACACGAAATTTATGCCTTAAGGTTGAAGCAATTACATATTAAAGTGAAAAGTCCCCTAGCATGAGCTGTCCAAGTAGGAGGTGGCTTCTTGCAGCCAACTTTGACTTCTCCCTTGCACCACATGGAGCCATATGTGACTTAGAAGAGTTATAAATATCTTGTGTAAAGTTCTAAGGACTTATAGGACGTGTTGGAGGCTTAAGGTTGAAGGAATTAGAGGTTAAAGTGGCAAGTCGTCACATGTTAAGTAGGTGTTGTCTTCTTTGATTAAATTCTGATTTTACATCTATCCTTGCAGGTATAAATCAAGTGTCATTCGTTTATTTTGATGTGCTTACAATCTATTTCACTTGCATTAAGATCCCAAAGTACTTTATAGATCTAATTCCTCAACTGTTCATTTAATTTCTTACCCGATTCTCAACCGATTTCAACAATTCGCGCCTCGATATTTATAATGTCGTATAAGACATATATTATTACGTTGTGATAATGTCACTTCATCCCTCATGTCCCAAATATGTGAATTACCTATCTAGGGTTTAAGGTGACCTCGATTAGCTGAATAGAAAGCTTGAACCTTTGTTGATACAAATCTTCGGCCTTTCAAATATTACATTACTTACCAAGCCAATCTCCAACATTTAGTTAATCTAACTTTCTATCATAGCTCAATATAAAATTCACCACCTAGATCGAAGAGTCAAAGGTTATCACCATGTAAAGATTTTAAAGCCTTGATGATTAAATGCATCGTTTTAAGAGAAGACAATTAGGAAATTGATACAAATGACAATGTAATTAGCATGGAATGCATGAATCATATTGGCCAAATGTAGAACGTGAAGTTTGGGGTATTACATCCTCTCCTCCTTATAAAAATTTCGTCCTCGAAATTTGCTTACCAAAAAGTTCAGGATATTTAATCCGCATTTCGTCTTCTCTTTTCCAAGTGGCCTCTTCTGTTGATTGATTTTGCCACAATATCTTAACCAATGAAATTTTCTTGCTTCTCAGTTGCTTTATCTCTCATTGAAGGATCTCTATCGGCTTTTCTTCGTAAGTCAAATTTGGTTTTATTTCCATCGGTTCATTCCTTAATACATGAGAAGGATTTCCAATAAATTTTCTTAGCATGGATATATGAAACACATTATGTACTTGAGACATCGATGAAGGAAGGTCAAGTTTGTAGGCAACATTCCCGATTCTCTCAATAATAGTAAATGGACCAATATATCTCGGGCTTAGTTTTCCCTTTTTTCTAAACCGCATCACTCCTTTCATTGGTGCTATCTTTAAAAGTACTTGATCTCCCACAGTAAATTCTAATATTCTTCTTCTTTGATCTGCATAACATTTTTGTCGATTTTGAGCGGTTTGCATCCGTTGACGTATTTGTGTCACAACCTCAGCCATTTCACGTACCATATCTGGACTAGTAGTTTCCTTTCTCCATCCCCATCCCAATAAACTGGAGATCTACATTTTCTACCGTATAATGCTTCATAAGGAGCCATACCAATTGTAGCCTGATAACTATTGTTGTATGCAAATTCTCCCAAAGGTAAAAATTTACTCCACTGGCCTTGGAAGTCCAATACACAAGCCCTTAGCATATCTTCCAATATTTGTATGGTTCTTTCTGATTGCCCGTCAGTTTGAGGATGATAAGCTGTGCTAAAAGATAATTGTGTTCCCAAAGACTTATGTAAGCTTCTCCAAAAGAGAGATAAAAACTTAGAATCCCTGTATGAGACAATAGATAGTGGTACTCTATGAAGTCTGACTATTTCTTGTACATAAAGTTGAGCATATCAGTCCATGGAGTAAGTGGAACAAACTGGAATGAAATGGGCTAATTTTGTTAACCTATCCACAATAACCCAAATACTATCATATCCTTTAGTCATTTTTGGTAATTTCACCACAAAATCCATTGTGATTCTTTCCCATTTCCATTCCGGGATAGGTAATGGTTGTAATGTTCCTGTTGGCCTTTGATGTTCTGCTTTTATCTGTTGAGAAGTTAAACATTGTCCCACGTATTCGGCTATCTCACTTTTCATGTTCAGCCACCAATAGTGCAACTTCAAATCTCTATACATTTTAGTAGCTCCAGGATGAACAGAATAGGGTGTCATATGAGCTTCAGATAAAATATCACCTCGGATATTTTCTGTATCAGGTACATATAATCGTCCTCTAAACCGCAAGATATCATCTGCTGATATATGAAAATCTGAAGCTTTTCCATCATGTATATCATTCGTTATTTGGGAATAATAATCATCTTCCTGTTGCCCTTGTTGAATTCTGTTCAGTAAAGTTGGCTGAAGTGTCAACGCAGCAAGTTTAGCCTCTATAGATCCTTGTGACATAACTTCAATACCCATTTTCTGTAAATCTATCAATTCTGATTTTTGAGTTACAATCATATTCGAAACACTGGATGTCGACTTCCTACTCAATGCATCAGCTACAACATTAGCCTTACCGGGATGATAGTTTATTACACAATCATAATCCTTTACCAACTCTAGCCACCTTCTTTGTTTCATATTCAATTCCTTTTGTGTAAATAGATACTTCAAACTTTTGTGATCAGTGTAAATCTCACACCACTCTCCATACAAATAATGCCTCCATATCTTAAGTGCAAACACAACTGCGGCGAGTTCCAAATCATGTGTAGGGTAATTCTTTTCGTACTCTTTTAGTTGTCTAGAGGTATATGTAATAACTTTACCATTTTGCATCAATACAGATCCCAAACCATTCTTTGAAGCATCACTATAAACTTCAAAATTTCCAGTACCAGATGGGATTGAAAGGATAGGGGCTGAAGTTAGTCTTTTCTTCAATTCCTGAAAAATTTGCTCACAAGCATCTATCCATTCAAACTTAGTACTCTTTCTGGTTAATTTCGTTAAAGAAGAAGCTATTTTGGAAAATCCTTCCACAAATCTACGATAATATCCAGCTAAACCCATAAAACTTCTGACTTCTGAAGGATTTGTAGGTCGTGGCCAATTAGTAATAGCCTCTACTTTACTTAGATCTACTGATATACCCTCACCCGATACTACATGTCCCAAAAATACAACTCTATCTAACCAAAATTCACATGTTTTAAACTTAGAATATAACTGCTTGTCCTTTAAGACCTGCAGAACTATTCTCAAGTGTTTCGCATGTTCTTCCTTAGTACAAGAATAAATAAGGATATCATCAATAAATACAATTACAAACTTATCGAGAAAGTCTCCAAATACCCTATTCATCATATCCATAAAAGCTTCTGGGGCATTTGTTAACTCAAATGGCACTACCAAAAACTCATAATGACCATATCTCGTACTAAATGCTGTCTTAGAAATGTCAACTCCCTTTATTTTAAGTTGATGGTATCCAGATCGCAAATCAATCTTCAAAAATACAGATACACCATGAAGTTGATCAAACAAATCATCAATTCTCGATAATGGGTATTTATTTTTAATTGCCACCTTATTCAACTCTCGATAATCGATACACAGCCTCATAGTACCGTCCTTTTTACGAACAAACAATACTGGTGCACCTCATGGTGAAAAGCTAGGTCTAATAAAACCTTTATCTAACAACTCTTGTAATTATAACTTCAACTCTTTCAGTTTAGTTGGGGCCAATCTATATGGAGCCTTAGAAATTGGAGATGTTCCTAGAATTAAATCAATTACAAACTCTATCTCACGATTTGGTGGTAGCCTAGGTAAATCATCAGGAAATACCTCTGGAAATTCTTGTACCACTAGCACATCATTAAGATTCGGATTGTGTTGTGCTTCAATAGCATTAACACTCACCAAATACCCTACACACCCACTATCTAGTAACCTTTGTGATTTCAATACCGATATGGTTGGAACTCTAAAACCTTTTTCGATCCCAATGAATGTAAATGGCTCATTCCCCAAAGGTTGAAAGGTCACTGATATCCTCATACAATCTATAGTAGCTTGATATTTTGACAACCAATCCATACCCAAAATTATATCATAATCTTTCATTTCTAACACAATTAAATATGCATAGAGCTCTTGATTTTCTATAAGGATCACACATACTCTTACAATTAGATTGTTTTGTTGTACATCTCCAGATGGAATAGTTACACTATAATTACCCTCTTGTATATCAAGCGTCCTACCCAACTTCCTCACATACTCAGTAGACACAAATGAATATGTGGCTCCAAAATCAAATAGTACAAGTGCTGTGATGCCAAAAATAGAGAATTTACCCATTACCATTGATGGATTTGTCTCAACATCTGATTTGGTAATAGTAAACACCTTAGCTGGCACTTTCTTTTGCTCCATATGGTTTGGATTACCTGGGCATACTCTAGCAAGATGTCCCGCCTTTCCACAAACATAATATGTTCTAGTCTCTATAGGACATGCTCCAGTATGCTGTCCACCACATTTGGGACAAGATGGTTGTGCTGTTGAGGCTTTTCCTTGATCTATCCTTGGACTTTTGTCCTGATCCCAATGTTGTTGTCCTTATCTCGATTGAAAATTAGTCTTCTAATTCTATCCTTGGAAAGCTTTTTTCTTATTATTTCTAGGCCAATGCTATCCTTGACCTTGCCTAAATTGTCGACGAGCCTCTTGAGCACGACTAATCCTTCATTTGGCTTATTCTGCAACTAAGGCTCTCACCGCAATTTGAGAATATGAAACATCTTGGATTCTTGCCATGCTCACATCTCTATATAGTTCTGGTCTTAGCCCCTCAAGAAATCTTTCTACCTTTAGTACCTCAATATTAACCATGTGGGCAGGAAACCTGGATAACTGTTCAATCAGTAAGAACCTTGCTACATGTACAATATGGTGTACACTTTAGTTTACACTTTACCACGTGACAAATTCCCTATTGGACAATTTAAATTTCAAATAGTTTTTCCATCCAATTGACACTTGAACACAATGCAAGTGTCAAACAATGTTTCAAAAATCAGTTTACAAATAGCAAACTTCAATTGATAAGAACCTTTTCACATATACACTATGGTGTAGACTTTAGTTTACACTTTACCACGTGACATTACCCTGTTGGATAGTTTAAATTTCAAACAGTTTTCCCATCCAATTGACTCTTGACAACAATGCAAGTGTCAAACAACATGTCAAAAATCAGTGTATAAATAGCAAAGTTCAATCGGTAAGAACCTTGCGATATGTACACTATGGTGTAACTTTAGTTTACAGTTTACCATGTGACATTACCCTATTGGACAGTTTATTTCAAATAGTTTTCTCATCCAATTGACACTTGACAATAATATAAATGTCAAACAATGTGTCAAAAATCAGTGCACAAATAGCAAAGTTCAATCGGTAAGAACCTTGCTATCTGTACACTATGGTGTACACTTTAGTTTACACTTTGCCACGCGACATTACCTTGTTGGGCAGTTTAAATTTCAAACAGTTTTCCCATCCAATTAACACTTGACAACAATGCAAGTGTCAAACAACGTATCAAAAATCAGTG